TTACAATAACAAGAAGAAGAAGAAGAAGAAGAAAAAAAGAAGAAAGAAGAGGAGAATAATAATGATAATAATAATAAAAAATAATAATAAATAATAAAAAATAATAAAAATAATGATAATAATAATAAAAATAATGATAATAATAATAATGATAATAATAATAATTATTATCATTATTATCATCAAAATAATAATAATAATGATAATAATAATAATAATAATAATAACAATGATAACAATAACAATAATAAAACTGATACTAGTGATAATAATAGATAAAATGATGATAATAATAATAATAACAATGATAACAATAACAATAATAAAACTGATACTAGTGATAATAATAGATAAAATGATGATAATAATAATAATGATAATAATAATAATAATGATAATAATAATAAAAATCATGATAATAATAATAATAACAATGATAACAATAACAATAATAAAACTGATACTAGTGATAATAATAGATAAAATGATGATAATAATAATAATAATAATAACAATGATAACAATAACAATAATAATAATAATGATAATAATAAAAGGAGAAGGCAAAGGAGAAGAAGGAAACAAAGAAAAAGAAAAAGAAGAAATAGAAGAAGAAGAAGTAAAAAAAAATCATGGTAATCATTTTTCTTTCTTTTTTACTGTCCAAAACCCTGGTGTAAATATATAAGTAATCAGCTATGACAACCTATCAGCATTAGCAGATGAGCTGAATAGTCTGAGCAATACATAGCAGAGGTATGATAGAGTTGTTCCCCTAAAATGTATTCCATTCTACTGTTTTTGCAATAGAAATATTATACTAAAAACAAAGTTCAAGTCCAAATCCAGATTCTCTCTTTCGTAAAACAATGAACCATTCATAATCTAAAATGAATACATTTACAAATCATAATGATAAGTAAATAAATAAGTTATATCAGAGATCATGAAAATTATTTACTTTACTTTTAGATATGTGTGTAAATATTCTACAAGGCCCAAAGTTATTTCAAACTGACACTGAAAAGATTGTGAAAAGAGACCCCTTCAGAGTCATATATACAAACCAATTGTACAGCATTAATAAATCATCATGTGAATTTATTACATGTACTGTCTCACCCTGCTTTGTGATATTCTATACATACTGTAAGCACTGATGAAATACCAGAAGTTAAATACCAGATTTCTATGTACATAAAAAATAACATTTCACTGGACTTACCACACTCTAGGTACCAACATTGCTGGGTGCTTCTCGTTTTCTCCAAGGCCTAATTTCATTTTGGTAACAAAAATCTCCCTTACAAATACTCCTATACAGTCTTTCCTTTCAGTGATTGTGCTGTCATTGCAGCGAGCAAGGCGCCCTCCATATAACTGTACTCCATAACTTGCAAATACAAATAGGAGTACTATAAGAAGAATGGATACCTGAAATAATATTGCTGGGTTAGAGTCAGTCCAGAGTTATATCTCTTCAAAAAATGAGAACACTTCACTATGTTTGCACAAAAAGTAATTTCTACATGTATCAGGCTCTTCTGGGATAAAGTAGGAATCTTGATGGATGTTTGTCAAATGTTACTTTCAGATTATTATGCAAACTATCTATGATCATCATGAAGTCTGAGAAATGCAGACTCACCAACAGAATTTCTTTAAAACCTTTGCACAGCTCCGACACTACTTTCCTCATATGGGGAACAAGGTTGAAGATACGAAGAGGTCTTAAACATCTTAAGATTAGAAGAAGTTGAATACCTGATTGTGCAGGTACTTCCTTTGGCATCCAACATGAAAATACTAAGGAAACCTGGAACATTTTTAAATAAACACATAAGTACACAAGTTAATTCCTTAATATCTATATCCATTCCTCTTCCCCTATAACCCAATTGTCTTCTTTTCTTTTTTGTTCAGACAAAAGAACACCAATAAACAATAACTTTTAAAATTACCGTAAAGATGAAGAGATCCAACACTCCAGCCATGTCCCGAATCAGTGCCTTTGGTGTGAAGAGTAATCCATCTGCTAAGATCTTTAAACACAGCTCAATGCTCATACAAACAACAAATGCATACTCTGCAATCTGAAAATAATCATAGAAAGTTTAATGTAATAACTTTATACTGTTATCAACATAATCTTAAACAAAAAAATACATGCCTAATAGAAGCCAATATTAGCATTAAGGTATATCATTTCACAAATATCTCTCATAATGATGGTGTACCTGCAATATTGGTGCATCTGTAATACGATATGTTGGTGTTTCAAACATGAGAGAGATGCACGATAGCGTTGTTACTAATATCATCACCCAGTCAAGGTATGTAACTAAGCCAAGAAGATTGCTGGATATTGAGGAGAAAATAAGATATTGGGCTTAGTAGTGAGATCATTGATAAAAAGAAAGATACTTCTATTGATAGTCAATATATAAAGCAATAAATGGAAACAAACAGATACACAGCATTTATTCAATATTATAATGAAACATTTAATAGCCGTACAAAATAACTTATAAAGCTAATGAACTCTTGTCAATTAATATGTCATACTTTCTAATGAGTAGTAAATAAAACTTTTAAAATGCTAACCTAACTTCTTTACATTATCAAGTAATTACTTGTACTAAAAGAAATACACATAGCTGCTGTAACTCACTGTAAACGTTTGTATTTGATCTTTCTCTCTTTTCCAGTAATTGGATCCTTATGACTTGTATCATAACGTGAATATACAATGACTTGACACAGTTTCCTGAACTGACTTTCACGTCCAACAGCAAAGAGAGGTGTATCAAAATATGGGTGATTTTCACGAAGGTCTTCTTCTCGCTGATTTCTGATAAGATAATTACCCATGTAAGAAACTGTAATTCTTTTAACATATACAATATTATTAATATAATTCATCATAGTAACGAGGAACTACCTTCAAGTTAATTTTCAATAACAAAATAATATACATGATATTCATAAAAGCATAAAGTTCATATAACTGGAATCTTAAAATCAAAAAAAATTAATATCCTCACATCATATTCAGCACAATACCTTCTCATCTCTGCTTGTTGTCTTTTTGCTTGAAGCATTTTAATGTCTAGGTCTTGAGGTTTGCGACTGGATGATGTTCGATTCATGGCTCCAATGTCTCCGTTTTCCTTCAGATGATCATAATTCTGCTGCTTGAGCTTGACAGATCCTCGAACACTGCGACGGATTGACCTTAGAGATGGGAACACAGGACTCATGCTCATGCAAATGTCATGCCTCATGCAACTATGAGAGCCACAGTCACAGGCAAAAGCTATGCTCATAATCTCCTTGCCTAAATAACTCAAATGCGGATCCAATAGCACAAATGTACTATATATACTTGAACAAGTAATATGGGATAGCTAATGGTACTACAGAAATACAACTATACTTTTTTGTGACCTAATATCCTCTTCACCCAGTATCCAAAAAGAACCATTGAAATGCAAAGCAAAGTTGGATCCATCCCTGTTTACATGATATTAATAACAGTAACCCTGACATGCTGAGACATGACAAATATCTTGAAATTTCTGTCAAAGACATATTACGACATCATTCTCCTATGCAGTCTTTGGATACTTTTAAAAATATTTATCAAAATCACTTCTAAAGACCCTTGCATGTTTTTCATTATATTAATTCTGAAAATTGATACTGTAAAGCACACTCAGATAAAACATAAACATATTGTAGCACCATAATGATACAGATTTTTGTACACAGAAATAACTTTACATTACAATAACCTGACCCTGGATCTTTAGCACACATAGTATTAGTGAACACAGGATTAAAAAACTCCTTAAAACAGGACATTTGAAAAGAATACCTCTGAAAAAACATTAAACAAATAAAGTATTAACATCTACTCATAGTCCTCAAATTATCCAAAATCCTGTGGAAAGAAATGCAATAAGAAAACCACAAAACCTTAGCTAGAAAGCACTATTGAATTATTCAGGATATGATAATACTTGCTCTGATATCTAATGTCTGCTCTTAAATTTTGTAGATTCACTTAGGAAACAAATTTCCAGAGTAAATTCCATATTCTTTATAAAAAAAAAATCAATCCTTTCATTCTCCTACTGTACAAAACTTCTGACCTAAAATGCTGATATTCTTTCCATGTTTTTTCATACACATGCTGAAAAAATGCCCACACTGACAAAAATTTACTTTCTAACTCCTCTGAAAAATATCCTGAACTTCATTTGGTGGAACCTTACAACACATTTCATATTCCCCTAAGGATATTTTGAGAACAGGATTAGTACAGTATCATCTTATACTGCACTTTGTTAGTTACAGCAAGCATGCACAGAAACCATACAGCGTGTTCCCTATACTCAGGAAAGGGAGAGGAAAGGGAAGAGGGAGAGCGAGAGGGAGAGGGAGAGGCAGAAGGAGAAGGAGAGGGAGAGGGAGAGGAAGAGGGAGAGGGAGAGGGAGAGGGAGAGGGAGAGGGAGAGGCAGAAGGAGAAGGAGAGGGAGAGGGAGAGGGAGAGGGAGAGGGAGAGGGAGAGGGAGAGGGAGAGGGAGAGGGAGAGGGAGAGGGAGAGGGCGAGGGAAAGGGTAAGGAAAAGGAAAAGGAAAAGGAAAAGGGAAAGGGAAAGGGAAAGGGAAAGTGAGAGGGAGAGGGAGAGGAAGAGTGAAAGGGAGAATGAGAGGGAGAGGGAGAGGAAGAATGAGAGGAAGAGGGAGAGGAAGAATGAGAGGGAGAAAGAAAAGAGGATGGGAAGTGGGAAATTAAGAGGGAAAGGAGCAGGAAAAGAAAAGATAAATGGAAGGGCAGGAAATAGTACAAACAAAACAATACTACTCAGTTAATGCTTGGATGGATAGATAGATGGATGGATGGATGGATGGATGGATATATAGATGAATGGATGAATGAATGGATGAATGAATGAATGAATAGATAGATAGATAGATGGATGGATGGATGGATGGATGGATGAATGAATGAATGAATGAATGAATGGATGGATGGATGGATGGATGAAAAGATAGATAGATAGAGAGACAGATAGATGGATGGATGGATGGATGGATGGATGGATGGATGGATGGATGGATGGATGGATGAATGGATGGATGGATGGATGGATGGATGGATAGATGGAAAGTTGGCTGGTTAGAAAGAAAGTAAGTAAGTAAATAAGTAAGTTAGTTATTCAATAGGTCAGTCAATCAGTTAACCAGTCAGTCAAATAGTTGGTCAATTAGCTGTTTGGTCAGTCAGTCAGTTAGCTGTTTGGTTTGGTCGGTCAGTCAATCCGTAAGTTGGTCAGTCACTTTTTCTCTCTGTTTTTTCCTCTCTCTATTACTGCAATCATCACTATCATTATCACTGGTATTCCTTCTCCCACTCACATTTGCTCTCATTCCCTTACACTCAAACCCTAACTCAAAGCTTTACTTCCACTTTCACTCTCTCTTAACTCTTTGGCTCTTACTGAGACAAACAAGAAATTGTATTTATGACACATCTTGTCAGTTTTAGCACAACAATCATCAATTTCAACTGCCAAGAGATGAGTTTACTGGTTGCAGGTTGCTACTGACAAAATCATACGTTTTAACATTCATGGAAACAGTTACAACTTTCCAATCATGATACTGTTAACATGTATTGTGCATGATCATGCCAAAGCACATATATTAATATTCTAGACCTAGAAATTACACAAAGCAAACCATTCTTATCTTCCCAGACATTCCCTAATCCTATCAAATGTCTTACATGCATTTGATTCAGTTATATTTTAATCCAGCACAATATACATACCAAGAATAATCAATACTGTACCTAATAACATATACTTAATCATTCCTATTTTCTAGGTGGCTTGACATTAATAAACATCAGTCAAAAGTACTAATCTGAAGTCATAAAGACTGTAACTAGGTCATTACTAGCAACAAACTGTTGTGAATAATATTTAGAAATATTTTTCATTGACTTTCAATATCTACTATAGTGCTTTGATGATTACTTTTACTATAATAAAAAAATAACATATTTATCCACCAAATACCAATGGTGATATATAACTATTTCATTCAATTCACCAATATTTCTTTTTACTGTATTCATCCACCAAATTTCAGCTATTAGTTAAGGTACAGTACAAATGGCTTGACTCTTTTCTGTGTATACGTCTAATAAGTATGAATGTGCTTTAGGATTAAATTTTGAATCTATATGCAGTACTACACAAAACAAGAATGCAATTAAATGATCAACTTTTTTTCTCTTTATATAGTAAAATTCAGTATAACTCAAGATTTAGCATCTGTGGTTAGTTTTTACCCTTGTGCTTTATCAATGACATATAAGTTATAAGGGAATTGTTCACATTTAAATATGAAAGAAAGGGCATGTGCCTCTTGTTTTCTCCCTCCCTGACTTGGCCACCACATAAGTGCAATGAAAGTAAGATTATAAGCAGTGCAAAACATAGGAATAAGAATTAATGTTGGAAAAACATCTCTAGCTTTGACATATAATAACTTTTAAAGGCTCATGAATGTTTCTCAAAATATTCTTGCCAACACAGAATAGTTATGACTGTAGCACATCCAGCTTTTATATCTTATTATTAGAAAACTTACTTCTGGTCAAGACGGCCATGTTTTGATGACACAGTGCCATGAGAATGAGTTCCTTTTCCTGGCAATGGGATCTGCCCAGAATCTCCTAATAAAAGCCTCTGGTTGTTTGCATCACTGTAGAAAAGAATTACTGTGTGGTAAATATTTGTACTCAATTTACTCAGTGTTACATATACATGAGGCACAAAAATGAAATTACTTTATCCTTATGAAAGTACCTAATAATATTGGAAACTCCTGTTTTCTTCTTTTCATAATCAGCATTACGTGGATGAGATATAGGAGTAAGTAACTTCACAGGCCTTCTTTTACGATATGTGATAGAGGAATCCTCAAGACCTCCTACTCCATGAGCCTTCGTTAATCCATCTTCATCTTCTTGATCCTCTTCAAGATATTGCCTCATGAAACTTTCCCGTATCTGGTGGAAGTATGTATAAATGTGTTGGAAATTTTCAACAAACTATAAATTTCATACATTAGTTGTAAAATAATGTTCACAGTTCACAATTTTTAAGTCACTTAGGAAGTTTACATAAAAATATAATGTCCAGTAAATTACACCTTCAGAATATCAAGCACAAAAAGTCAAAGTAAGGAAGTACTGTACATATATAAAAAAACACATATAAGCATTAACCTTTGGCAAGGAAAAATCTGATGGCACTTTGTGGAGCCTAGCCATTGTTGGGCGATCTGGAAACTTTTCAAATACTCGAAGTCGAAGAGGTAAAGTCTCTTGAATACCTGCACTTTGTTCTCGAGCTTTCATTTGCTTGAGCTTCTTAAAGTCTTCATCAAGTTCCAAGTTATCAAGAATAACAGCTACAAACA